AGTAGAAAGCTTGAACCCTAAAGCTTTAGCAGCTAACCCTAAGCCTCAAACCTTAAACCCTGAACCCCTGGACTGTCCCTAAACCCTAAACCCTAAACCCGAAGCCCTAAACCCTGAACCCTAAACCCGAAGTCCTAAACCCTAAACCCTAAGCCCTGAACCCTAAACCCTAAACCCAAAGTCCTAAACCCTAAACCCTACCAAGCAGCTCGCCGTTGCCCGCAAACCAGATGCTCTGAGCCCTTGCTATCGTCGGAGCCCCAGTGCATGTGGAACTGCTCCAGGAAATACCTTCATGTCTTGGGCGTAGGTTTAGGATTTAGGGTTTAGGGTTTAGGGTATAGGGTTTAGGGTATGGGGTTTAGGGTTTAGGGTTTAGGGGGTTTAGAGTTGAGGGCTTAGGGTTTAGGGTTGAGGGCTTAGGGTTTAGCGTTTAGGGTTTAGGGTTTAGGGTTTGGGATTTAGGGTTCAGGGTTTAGAGTTTAGGGTTTGGGGTCTGGGGTATAGGGTTTAGGGTTTAGGGCTTAGGGTTTAGGGTTTAGGGTTTAGGGCTAGATTCAGACCCAACTCTCTCAGTGCTCTTTCATACGCACCCGGAATCTAAGCAGTGGACACCAGACACGGACACCTTGACAACAATGAAGCCTTTATCTACACCATGACGATAAGGATAGCGCAATGCTTACTGTAATAAAGCAGGAAAACGATATTGAACCTAAACCGAGAAAGTGAGAAGACCCCTGAAAAAACCCTAAGCTCTGACACCCTACTAATCAAAAAGCCCAAAACCCAACTATTCGGAGTGAAGTCCACAACACGACCCCTTGGCGTAGAGGCCTTTAAAAAAAAAACGAGAGAGAGCAGACTGGTAAAAGAACTTTCCATGAGGCCCAGGTAGCCGACACAGCTCCGAGCCGAAACGGGCCTCCTAAACCCTCGACCCCCCCAAACCCCGACTGAAAGTCCAAACCCCCGCAAAAACCCCAAACCCCCAAAACAAACCCCAGAGAACATAATGAAGGGGCCTTAAGAATGGGAACTTTTCTACTACGTAGACTTCTAATGAGGAACCTCCAAAATAGTACATGTAATTATTTGGGTCATGGCCTGGCCTGTCGGCCTTGGTAGAGTTGAGGCCGCGCATAGCCTTCGGCCAGGTTCCGAAGGACGCCGATGCCTTTTCTGGGTTTTGGGTTTTGGGTTCAGGGGTTGGGGTTCTTTCTTATTGAACAACACTCTTAAGGTTCAGGGTTTAGGGATTCTTGCTGAACAAACTTCTAGAGTTCAGGGTTCAGGGGTTCTTACCGAACAAAACTTTTAGGGTTTAGGGTTCAGGGTTTAGGGTAACTTAAACGCCCAGAAGTTTTTTGGGGGCTTTGGAGCTTCTGGGGTCGGACGGGTCGAAGGTTTCCGGACTCCTGTGGACATATATCCCTAAACCCTAAACCCTCAACCCGTACCCCTGTTCTTTCTGTCAACTTGCTTTTAGTGAAGATGTTGCTGCTGGACTGACCTTTCTTCCATGCTTGGCATGGTCTAACCTGCAAATTGAGGCTTGCGAGTTGCGACATCATCAACCGGGCTTAGAGTTTAGGGTTTCTGGCTCATCAGCTTCATCATCGCCCTCCTTCTTTGTCATCATCTTCATCGAACATTAGCAGCACCAGCATCGGCAAACAGCCGCAGGATGATGACCATTATTGGTTGTTGGTAGTGATGAGTAGTAATTAGTAGTAGTAGTAGTAGTAGTAGTAGTAGTCGTCGTCGTCGTCGTCGTCGTCGTCGTCGTACTAGTAGTAGCGGCGGTAGAGCAGGAGCAGTAGCAGTAGAGGTAGCCGTAGCAAGAGCAGTAGGAGTAGTAGTAGCAGTCGTCGTCGTCGTGGTGGGAAGTCGTACGACCAGCAACCGTAGCTGTACCAGTAGCAGTAGCAGTAGGAGTAGTAGGGGGAGCAGCAGCAGCCAACGCAGTAGCAGCATCAGCAGCGGAAGCAGGAAGAAGAGGAGGACGAGCACCAGCAGCTGCAGCAGCAGTAGGCGCAGTTCTTTTGTAGATAGTGCTACTTCCAAAAACCACACCGCACCATGTCACAGTAACTATTCCGTCGCGACCCTGCCTCACAGGTCGTGCCGCTTCGACCGCACACGATAACGGTCATGGAATGGCCGTTGTTCGAAACCTACGGGCGGCTGCTACCCCAACACCCCAAGACCCAAAACCCAATGCCCTAAACCCTAAACCCTAAACCCTAAACCCTAGGGGATCCCCGTTCCACCACCCGAACACCCGAGAGCGCACCCTGTTGCTCAAAGGGTTTGGGGCTTAGGTTAAAGGAAACTACAGGTGGGGAGTTTAGGGTTTAGGGTTTTAGGGTTTAGGGTTTAGGGGTTTAGGGGTTAAGGGTTTAGGGTTTAGGGTTTAAGGAAACTACAGGTGGGGAGTTTAGGGTATATAGGGCTTCTATAAGGCTTCTATAAGGTATATGGACCTTCTATAAGGCTCCTACAACGTTAACTACCCACCTGAAAATGTCCTAGATTAGGGTTTACTTCCAAAACCTATCCGAATGAAATTGGCAAGGCCCCTACGGTAGTCGATTCGTGCCCTCAAAGCACACGAACCTGATCATCAGACCCGTAATCCTATCGAAGATTTCTGAGTGGAGATCTTACCATGAACGGATCTCGCAGCCAGTTTCCCACAGCACTGTACCTAAGCCCTAAACCCTAAGCCCATAAACCCCAAAAGGCAAAGATCCCGATTCCGGCATCAGTAGAAATCTGTGCACATGCATGGACTTCTGGGTTTAGTACGTGGTTATCGAGTTCAGAGTTTGGGGGGGATGTGGAACAAGCTTTTCTGGTTCTGATAAAAAGTAACCACAACGTTTTCAGACTCCAACTTCACCCCCTGCAAGCGTTTCTCAAGACACCAGCGCCTTAAAACATAGAAGCCTGACACGGGAGCCAGCCCCACACAGAAAACCCAAGCATCCCAAACATCTCCATGTTCAAAAAGCTGCTTTAAGACAACACCCACCTGCAGCTTCTTCAAAGGCTTTTTGAAGCCCGGACCCAGAGCAATACTCACATTGGGAGCCACGACGGAGTCCTTGTCTTGTTGCTACGTTGCTTCTTCTGTTATTCAGCTCGTCATGTCATAGCACGCAGGCAGGTGGTTGCGTCAGCAGCAGCAGCGGTATCAGTAGTATGGTGGAAGTAGTAGGAGGTGTAGCAGGAGCAGCAGGAGTAGCAGGAGAAGTAGAAGTTGCAGGAGTAGTAGGAGTGGTAGTAGGAGTAGTAGTAGCAGCAGCAGCAGTAGGAGGAGGAGGAGGAGGAACAGCACGAGGAGTACGAGTACGAGTAGTCAGGCTAGCAGGGGAAATAGGAGAAGCAGGAGTAAGAGCAGGAGGACTAGGAGGACTAGGAGGAGTAGGAAGGGTAGCAGAAGCAGTAGGAGTAGGAGGAGGAGTAGTAGAAGGAGGAAGAGGAGCAGGAGTATGTGCTCTTGCGCCTCTATCTTCGTAAGGTCAAAGGTCGGGGATGGGTTTAGGGTTTAGGGTTTAGGGTTTAGGGTTTAGGGTTTAGGGTTTAGGGTTTAGGGTTTAGGGTTTAGGGGTTTGGGGCCCCTAGCTGCTAGGGATGTCAAGCGCTGGTGCCTGGGTGTAAACCCTAAACCCTAAACCCTAAACCGTGTCACCGTCACGTTGGGCGGTGGAGCTTTTCGGAGGTTCAAGGTGTAAACCGTCGCCTCGGGGTGTGGTCTGTCCCGCTTGGCGTTTAGGGTTTAGGGTTTAGGGTTTAGGGGTTTAGGGTTTTTGGGCTTTAGGGTTTTGGGGTTTAGGGTTTAGGGTTTTGGAGTTTAGGGCTTCGGGCGTTGGTGGGAGGGGGGCGGCAGAGTCGTAGTGAAGCGGAAAGTTGTAACGCGTTGAAGTTGGGCTAAGGCAGAATGTCCCAATGTGGCAGCTGCGGCAGGAGGGGCAGAGTCAGGGGTGAAAGCAGGAGATGTTCACAGCTGTTGGATGCGGGCACCTTTGGCAGTGGCTATTAGCTCACACCGGCTATGAAAGAAGCTGGATCTTTACAAAAGCGGCTTGGTCGCCTCTGTTGCTTTGGGACCCCTCCCGACGTCCGGCCTCTTGATGCTGAATGAGCTGATGCTAAAAATATCCGCGTCTTTAAAGATGTTCCACCCTGTCGTCCTGCACGTGGATCCACTCACACAGGAAACCCTAAACCCCACAATTGACCGTTGCAACATGAAGGGAAGCCAATCTTTCTAGTTCTTGCATGCACCCTAGTGGTAAACCGATGGCCACAGCCGCTGTGCCCCGCGACGCAGGATTATGGTGAAGGTGAAGTCTGGGGGTTTCTCAGATGCGTCAGCTGAATCACCCGCCTGCACGCTAGACGACAACATGAAAACCCTAAAACCGCGACACGCCAACACCGAATCCGACTAACCCCTGCAACCAAGCCAAACCCCAAAACAAACCCAAGAATCTCAACAAACCCTAAACCCTAAACCCTAAACCCCAAACCTTAAAAACGCTAAACCCAAAAAACCCTAAACCCTAAAAACCCTCAAAGAACCCTAAACCTTAAAAGCCCTCAAAAAAAAAAACTTAACCAATTCCGCCGCATCCCAAAGAACCTGGTGCTGCCCCGGCTCGGTCGCTTGAATGTCGATTGGGCTCTGGCCTTCGAATGTCAGAAGAACTCCAAGTGGACCAAAGCTCAAGTTGGGTTTTGGGTTTGGGGTCTAGGGTTTAGGGTTTAGGGTTTAGGGTTTAGGGTTTAGGGCTTCTAGGGCTTCTAGGGCTTCTAGGGCTTCTAGGGCTTCTAGGGCTTCTAGGGCTTCTAGGGCTTCTAGGGTTTTGGTGACTTTGTGTTTGGGCTTTTTTTGAACACCTTTTTGTCCGTCCGCTTGTCCTAGCCTTCGGAGCAGAAAGTATGTGTTTGGGGGCTTTGGGGTTTGGGGTTTAGGGTTTGGGGCTTTGGGTTTAGGGTTTAGGGTTTAGGGTTTAGGGTTTAGGGTTTAGGGTTTAGAGTGAGGCTTAGGGTTTGGGTGTTAGGGATTCCAGGCTTTGGCTTTAGGGCTTGGGGCACAGAGCGAAAGCTTTCTGGCTCGGGTGAAACTAGACGAATTCAGGATTTGCGCAGGGTTCAAAGGCCATGTCTCCCAATCTTGAATCCCAGTAAACCTGCCTTATAACCCGTGGCTCTAGGTCCATCGTGGAGCAAAACTAGACCCTAAAACCCCTGAAACCCCCGAACACCGGACCGAACCCCCCAAACCCTAATTGCCAAACCCGAACCCTAAACCCTAAACCCTAAACCCTAAACCCTAAACCCTAAACCCTAAAACCCTAAACCGGCCTGGATGGCTGGGCCCTGTCGCAGCGTGCCCACACTCGTTGGGCCACCCGGTTTGCGGGATGAACTCCGTCCAGCCGTCCTGTTAGTGTTAAACCAGAGGGTTTAGGGTTTAGGGTTTAGGGTTTAGGGTTTAGGGTTTAGTTATAGGAAACTACAGGTGGGGAGTTTAGGGTATATAGGGCTTCTATAAGGCTTCCATAAAGTATATAGACCTTCTAGAAAGCTCCTAACGCGGTAACTACCCACCTGAAAATGTCCTAGATTTAAGGTTTAGGGTTTAGCCTATAAACCCTCGACCCTGCACCCTCAAACCTTAAAACCCAAAGGCGAAGCCCCCAAAAGCCCAGAAAACCGGAACCCTCCAAGGGAAGCCACTCTAGTCCCAAACCGCACTAGGTCCCTTACGTAGATCCCAGCATCCCTTTAAAAGGAGCCCTAAACCCCTAAACCCCTAAACCCCTAAACCCCAAACCCCAAAACCCTAAACCCCTAAACCCTAAACCCTTAACCCCTAAACCCTAAAACCCAAAACATAAAACCCCCAAACCCTAAACCCCTAAAACCCTAAACCCCTAAACCCTAAACCCTTTGGAAGGAGCCTTGACCCTTTTCAGTCCTAGAAACCTTGACTGTACTCCGACTGAAGAGTTCAATTCTGAGGGCTACGCCTCTGAACGGTTTCGGGCTTAGGGTTTAGGGTTCTTCCATTTAGGGTTTAGGGTTTAAGATTTAGGGTTTAGGGCTTAGGGTTTAAGATTTAGGGTTTAGGGTTTGGGGTTTAAGATTTAGGGTTTAGGGTTTAAGATGTACAGTTTAGGGTTTCGGGTTTGGGAAAGCTCAACCCTAAACTTCGTAGTTTTTTGGATTAGGGTTTAGGGTCTAGGGTTTACCCCAAACTTCGTAGTTTTTGGTGTATTTCTCTAAATTCGGATCCCATTCGGGGTCCTTTTCAGAAGGGCGCCGTACCATATTGGGGACCTAAACGGGGACCCTAATTTAGAGAGCCACTCCTCTGGGCCGTGTTACCTGTCATAATTGGTGAAGGATTTTGGGACATGCTTGCAGTGCAACTTTAGAGGGACTTAGGGCACAGTTGCCAATTATTTAGACCTGGATGCTGAAAACATGCTTACAGGATCACGGGGCTCAATAATCACGGCTATGAGTTCTGAGCGAGGTAAGTCTAGTTGTAACATCCGATCACCCCAATTGGAGTCCATTTAACCTTGCTTACTAAGGCCCACCATGCCCTGAACCCAGGTAGCTCCCTAAACCCTAAACCCTGAACCCTAGACCTCCTAAAATTCCTAAACCGACAAAAACCGGCCGAAAGAAGAGGGGCTTAGGGTTTTTTGGGGTTTTTTCACCAGCTGCCCGGGGGTCCTGGTCGTAGTAGGACCAATGAAGGTGGGTTGACCTTCGTCGTTTAGGGTGTCGGGTTTAGGGTTTAGGGTTTAGGGTTTAGGGTTTAGGCGCTCTGTTCGGATAGGACACAGAAGCACCCCTCGGAGCCACAGTGCAGTCCTGTCGCTTGGTCTTGTGTTCTCCGATGATTTCCATCATGGGATCTAGACACCCGAAACTGAAACTCTAAACATTGCTACACAGTCAAAGTCGAGACGAGGAACGCGAAACCACAAACCGAAAGCAACAACTGGCAACAGGCGAACCCCAAGAACAAAAAAAACAAAAAAACGCATAAACACAAGGCTCTTGCGTTTGGTCTTCTAGGACTCCCCAAAGGCAGGAACGCAAAAAACACGAAAACAGAAACTAAGCTGCGAGATTCTTGCATCCATGTGTGGTGGAACCCCCGAAAACTAGGGGTTTAGGGTCTAGGGTTTAGGGTTTAGGGGTTTAGGGTTTACGGCTTGAAAGAAGACGAGCTCTACATCCCTCAACTTTAAGCAGAAGAGCACCACATCCCTGGAAATGCACCTACATCCTCTAGCCCTCACATGACCCTAAACCCCAAACTCCCAACCCTAAACCCTGAACCCCTCAACCCTGAACCCCTCAACCCTAAACCCTAAGCCCTAAACCCTGAAGCCTGAACCCTAAACCCTAAACCCTAAACCCTGAACCCCTTAACCCTTAAAGCGGGGAGGCATTCCCCAGGATCGCTTCGTCTTCGTCGACAGCTCGGGCTTCAGGCATGCATTGGAGCTGCCGTGCTTGGGGCAATCCTGCAGGGGATTCTCGTGGTCCTTGTTTCGGGTTTCGGCTTTAGGGTCTAGGGTTTAGGGTTTAGGATTGAGGGTTTGAGGGTTCAGGGTTTTAGGGTTCAGGGGGTTAAATTTCAGGGTTTTAGAGCTCTGGCCTTTGTTTTTTGGAACTGCAGGCAGCGGCTTGGTGTGGCTTTGCAATTTCGATTTCAAGGCCTAGGGGTTTTACGGCGTTGCTTCGTTTAGGGTAAGCAGTGTCCCGTCACAGGCCCAAGTCTCCAGACGTCACGCAAGACACAGCTGCAAGTGCCGCCGATGCTTCAGCAAGCTTGACAACAGGTTACTTGGGCTCGCCATTGAACAGGATCAAGAACGAAAATAGGCCCCACGTCCAAAACAAGAAAGGCCATGCACGTGGTAGTTCTCTAAATTAGGGTCCCTTTTTTGGGACCCTAATATAGTACGGCACCCTTTGTTCACACCAAGAAGCTAGGGGCACTTCGGGCTCCTACACTGCCAACCGCCAATCACGGACGGTTTAGGTTTTAGGTTCAGGGTTTAGGGTTTAGGGTTTAGGGTTGACAGGCAGTCCGGAAGGCACTTGTGGGAGGCTGCCGCGGAACGGTACACATGCCGAAAGCCCCCAAGAGGCTGCGGTGCGCGGAAGTTGTCGTGCAAGGACACATTCTGCTTGTGTCTCGCGTGGCCGGCCTTTCCACACCAGGCAAAAACCGATCACAGCAATGGCAAGAGTGAGGAAAATGACTTGAAAAACAAAACACGTCGGGAAGAAGGACAGGACAAAGCCTCCAGAAGGCTACGAAAGGACAGAAACCAAGCAAAAGCACAACGGCAAGAGCAACTGCCGCAGCGGCAGCAGCAGAAATGATGGTGATGATGATGATGATGTTGATGATGATGATGATGATGATGATGTTGATGTTGATGTTGATGTTGATGATGATGATGATGATGATGGTGATGATTTGATGATGATGATGATGATGATGATGATGGCAGTGTACAACTGTATAGTAGCATTTCGTTGTGATAGCGATGTCATGATGTTGGTGGATGACCATGCTGACGATGATGGCGATGACAGTGATAACGATTATTAGGATGATGATGAACATGATTGCATCACTATACTGGCAATGACGGTCATGAGGATGGTGGTGACAGATGATGCCGTGTACGTTCATTACGAAGTTGATTCTGGCAATGGCGGCGATGATGGCGATGACTCAATGATGAATATGATGGCCATCGCCATGGTGATGATGGTGAAGAGGAGGACGAGGACATCGCAGACGCGGCAGCAGTAACCGCAACAATCACAACCACCACAACGCAATCATGTCCAAGATGACTGTTGTAAACCGTCCGTGTAAACATTTTCAGATACTACTGTTGATGGACAAAATTCTGCATCCCAAATATAGTATAGTACCACAAATGCCATAGTTCAGGTATATGAGGTCATGCAGGATTTTGTCCATCAACCCTAAACCCTAAACCCTGAACCGTAGTTCAGCCTCTGCAGAGAGAACGGCATGCAAGAGGAGAAGCTTGGCAGCAGCCAAGTTCATTGCACTGAGGGCCGCCCTCTGCCTGACGGAAGAGCGTAAACGTCTTGAGCCGGGAACCTGCCCACGTCGGTTTCGAGTTTGGGGTTTAGGGTTCAGGGTTTAGGATTTCGGGCTTAGGGTTTAGGGTTTAGGGTGCGAATATCATTAAACCTTCCTGCAGGGAAGTCGGATTCGAGACGACATGATTTGACGTGACATCATGGTGTTGTTCAATATGGTGAGGTTTTGAGTGAATACATCTGCTCCAGCAGGATAGCTAAACCAATCTAGAAATGTACTCAAAATTTTCGATTGATGGTAATGGTTCTATTTTCAAAACATTTTGGAACATTTATTGCGTGAGACGCTTTGAGAAAAACGTTTCTTCGCGTCTGGTTGGGCTGAAGAGATATCGGTCAGCACTGTACCAAGAAATCGGCGTGGTTTAGATAGAAGCAATAAGTAATTCCGGGGAACTACGGTTTTTCGACTAGGCCAAAATCGCGCTGACAGGAGTGTGAAGATCAACCTGGAAACTGGGATTCCTGTGTTGATGGCCAACAACTGAAAGTTTTCATATTGAGAGAAATTGCCTTCTTAATGGTGAACAGAAGCAGGTCTGTATCGTCCGCATACTCCACATTCCTGACTGAGACCTTTGCATTTGCTTTTGGTGGACCATTTTCGGAAATCCGACATGCAAAAGTGGCGTTATGATTGCGTGCCGTGCTGCTTGACCCAGCTTGCCGAAAACGTTACAACAAGCCCGATGCTCTACCCACAGGCTTTCCGAAAGCTACCGTAGCACGGAGAGTCAGCAAGTGTCGATCCGACGCAACTTTGGTCTGAGGGTTTCAGGGTTAAAATCTAAGATTAAGAAAGTTGAAAGTGACATCTGCACATCAGTAGCAGCAGTGTGCAGTGAAGGTGGTGTTGAAGTCCACCGAATGCCATAGGCCCATAGCCGTCAAGCACGAAAAGCCAGAGAAAAGCTACGAAACCAACGACAAGAACACAACAACAGCGACAAACGAAAAGAAACAGAGAAGACGAAGCAAATCAAAGCACAGCTTTGGCCCAATTGCGAAGAAGCTGGACTTCGTGGTATCCGGCATGGAAGCCGCAACCACTGCTGGAGCATCAAGCCGATATTCTAGAAGAGCTTTTTCTGCCAAGGACTGACTGTTAACAAAAGCTGGCAAAAGACGCTATTCGGCAAAAAATTGCGGGAAGAGAGCGCCACTCTAAGTTTTTCAAACTTCTCAAACCCGCTAAAATCCAAAATCCAGTTCACCCATTCCAAACTTTCTTTCAAGCAGCTTCCAGCCGCGAATCCGTGTCCTGGCAAGACTGGAAGCCGAAACCAGTTAGTCGATATGTGCACGTCTGGAGCCAACGACGCTTGTGGCGTAAATACTCGCCGCATGCTTTTCCTCTCGGAATGTGCATTTTGGCAAAGCTAACACTTCCAGTACTTCTAAGGTGCCTCGGAAAGCCAATACTCGGTGTGCCGTTCACAAAAAGAATCTTGCAACAGCAAAACCCTGTGACAGTTGCGTTTGTGTGGAAATCGGCATCAGTGACAGCATCAGCCGCACTCGGCCCAGAACTGTTTTCTGCTCATGGATTTTAAGCTAGGGAAACTTCGAAGTGACCTGGCTCTCAAACTTCATGATCGTACCACCTCATCACGTCAAGAAGGCGCTTCAAGTACTTGAGCGGATGCAGATTGAGAGCCTGTTAGCTTACTTTTCCATCACCGCAAAAGAATTCGTATCCAGCGCTTGCTCCCTTCTGTAATCTCAATGAAGCGAGTGATGGAAGCTCTGCTCTGTTTGAGCAAGAACCAGAGCAAACCTAAACACAACCAACTGGCAGTTTGTCTCTGTAGGCATACCACACCCATCTCAGTAAGCCTCGAAGAAACGCTGCAGCAACACTGTACAATCAAAGCTTTCTGCTGCAAGTCCGAGAATCTGGGTGTCGGCAACCTGTTCCCTGCTCTTCCCACCGCACAAAGAAGACTTTTTTGGGGGAGTCGGCTCATAAACTTGAAGAAACTACTTGACCGTAGTGAATTACTTCCAGCTCTTCCCGCGCCAAGAAGAAAAAGAGCCCAAGCTCCACTCCTATGTGGACGCCTCGTGGGGTAGTGAGCTCAGTCGACCGGAGGTCGATCTCGGGCGGCTGCCTAATGTTGTGGAATGGATTTGAAAAGCAGTCCGAGCTATTAGACAGCTGGCGAATCGCAGAAAGGCCTTCAAAAATCAAAGCTCGGCGCAGCGTTCATCTTCACGGATGGTTCGTACGAGCTTGACGGAGACATCAAAGTCTGCTGTAACGACGCGTCGAGCACGCCTCTGTTCTTCTTTAGCACCAAGCTTGTTCCGCGGATTTGTTTGGTTTTTGGAAGATCAATCTGATCACATGAGGCCGCACGCTCATAGCTGATAAATCTGTTGGTGCAGAGGGTTTCTTGATGCATGACGATCCAAGTCGAAATCTTTGCGAATGGCTCCTCTCAGACAGAAGGCGAAGCATGAAAGTTCGGTGTGTTTGCTTTCTTGCTGGTCTCCGACATGCGCACTTTTTCACGGAAAACGAGTGCTGGGTCTGTGCCAGAGCAATGCAAGCTTATTTTAATCTTTTCAAAGACAGTGGAAGATGTCTACTGTGGAGGCCCGTCCTGGCGAAGCTGGAATTGCTTCGTTTCGTGACCTGAAATGGGGTCGCCCGACAGTGTCACAACGTTCAGTTGCAAGGATTCTTTGTTTGGGGATATGAGTGCGTCTGAGTCTGTGAAGCTGACGGACTTGGCTTCAACGTTTCCTATGGTTTTGCAGAATCGGGCAGAGTGGGGACATTGTCGCACGCTTCGCATTGGGCGAGTTTGAGGGCGGGTCTTTGGTTTTTTAAATTGCGAAGATTTTGGAAGCATGAAGTTGCAACAGCCCGCCAGGGAGTTAATGTGTCCTGTTGCATCGCGCCCCATGGAGCAGAATTTTCTCTAGGACTGTAGGGAACCCAGCGCAAGTCAAGGGCACGTTGAGATTGTATTGTCGGGCAGTGAGAGCACCGTGGCTGCAAGATCATCGAGGCCTTTGTTGAGGCTTATCGGATTAGATCCAGGTTAGACTGCAGGCTTCGAGGCTTGTCGAGGCCCGTTCGAGACTTCTGAGGTCCAGGGCGCCAGCTTGCTTGCACGTTGGCTTAGCAGCTCAATCTCAGAGGCTGTCGAGGTTTGAGCCGTCCGAGATCTTTGAAGAAGCTTGGGTGTGGGAGAGCAGTGAGAGCACAG